GTGTGTAGATCATGCATTACAAAGAGCTTTGCACTACCTAAAATCAAAGTAATTAGGCATTGCAAGTCACAAATAGTTTTGAAATGTTATTAATAAAGTGACACTTTTTTTGCAATACCACTGATAATGGAAACAAAAATAAGTGACACTTCTTTTAGATTTCTGAGAAATGCATTCCTGCCTTAATATCATTGCTCCTGCTCTCCACACTTGCTGCTAGAAAAGAAGGGCCTTCTTTCTCAGTCTGTCTTTGCACCATCACCTGGACACCCTCCGAGAAGAGTCACAGGCAGAGGAAATTCTCGTGATTGCGCATTGTTTAGTCTCTCTACTTCAGCTGCGCGAACTGCTTCCTGGGCAGCCCAGCTGCCTGCCATTTAACCCGCCTGGATGGATGAGCTCATTAACGAACCACCCCACAGGCTTTCTCGATTGGCTCTTCTCCAGACCCTAGTTCTCTTTCTTCACCCAGCGGTCATTGGTTCACCCGCCTTCCTTGTGTGGTGAAGCAAGTCCTTACCCCGCTCTCACTGCGCTCCTCCCCGCTCCTGGAGGAGACCTTAGAAAGGGTGGCAGGAGCAGTCATTCCAAGCATCCAGCAAGCTTGCACTTTCACAAAGGCCACCCTTTTTCCAGGACGCCACAAACTCCTCAGTGCCCTCCTCCCGGGTTCCTCAGGAGGGAGGGGAATCAAGTCAGCAATTCTTTCTTCCTCCTTTCTTCGCCAAAAGGCTGCTTCCCCGTCGTGGGTCGGTGCCAGCCTAGCAGGGAACCCATTCCTCTCATTGTTTCCCCCCTATAGAACAGCAGAGTGGCCCCAGACGGTGGGAAGCACTCCTAGGAGTCACTGAGGGCTCCCAGAGCTGCCAGTTGGGGGTTGGGGGTGAGAGATGGGAAGACTTGAGTTTTAATGTTTATGTAAGAAACAGCAATTCAGGCTCTCCCTCGCCGATGTGTCCTGTGGTGAGTGTGTCTCTAGGGAAAATCTTGGGATTTGCTTTCCAGTTGAAAAAAAAAAAATTATCAAGATCCTGGCTTTTTGTGCCTCGGCTTCCTGCTTTCTAAGAAGGGCAAAAGCATTTGAATTAAATAAAATTAAGTCCAGACCTCCTTTTGTGGACCCCAAGAGAACACTGCTCCTCTCCGCCAAGTCTGTTCTCAGTGTGCCCCACCCCACCTTTCTTATTTTTTTCTTTTTGCTTCTTTTCCTGCCTCTCCAACCATCTTATTCAACTGGCTTCTGGGTCTTTTCCCCCCCCATTTTTGCCACTCTTGAACCCAATTCTATCCTTAACACGATTTCAGTCAGCTTCAGCCACGAGCTAGTAGTGAAGAAAATCTCGGACAACATTGCAAAGTGCTGCTGCTTTTTTAACCTAACCTCTATCCGAACCTTCCAGCGGTCAAGAGCACCCCAGGCCACTTTCTTTTACTGAGGTTCCCAGAAACTCTTTTTAAGAAAGAAATTTGATAAATGTTTTGGCATTTAAGTCACACAAACTGTAGAATATCTTAGATGTTTACACTAAACAAATTATTCCTTAACATACATTCACAAAACAATGTAACCAAAGATGTTAGGTAAAGTCTAAATATAAAGCACCTTGTGAATCTGGGACTTCAGTCAAAACCTCTGATGTCCATTTCCCCATGAAGAACCTTTGGGCCCACATATTGCTCTTCTTATCTTGGCTCAACTAGCTGCTGGGGAATTTGAGCAGCAGGGCAGAGTATTGATTCCTCTATTGCCAGTCCCCTCCCCCGCCTGGACAGTCTGAGACCTCCTCTTCCAGTAGGGCACTCAGAGTTGAAAACTGCGGCTTTCTGACTTCAGGTGTCCACTGAGGACCAGACAGCGATTGTTAACATTACTCTTTTAAAACCATAGCTGATTTTCCAACACCACACACAAGGGTGTTTTTAAATTAACTTAATTGATTTTTAACTCTGTTTTTAAATGAATTTTAGAAATAGCATCATTTGAAAGAACAGAAAATGCAATTGTTGGAGCTGAGTGATAGATACTCAGGAATCATTGTGGTGGCCTTTCTACTTTCATGTATGTTAGATATTTCCATAACGAAAATAAAATACAAGTAAGATACTCTTGAATCTATATTTACTCTAAATAACGAGCATTAAGAATAGAATGTTCTGGGCTGGGTGCGGTGGCTCACACCTATAACCCCAGCACTTTGATTCAAGCTTCGATTTGGGTGGGAACACAGCCAAACCGTATCAGACACCATGCTAAGAAGTTGAAGCTTTTAGGCCTGTAAGTCTGTGGTGGGGACCAGGAATCTGAATTTACCAAGTTCTTTGGGTGATCTTGATGCAGGTATTCTGGAGATCTCACTGCACTGTTCAGAGAGGCTCTGCAATAAGTAAATTAAATTTATAGAAAGTGACAGAAGACACATTTTTATAAAATGGTAGGCACGGTATTAAGCATGAAGCACCAAAGAAACATAAAACTTGAACCCAGTCCTCAACACATAATTAAAGTAGGCTGATAAGATTTACCACAACCACTAGGTATGGTTGTGTAGGCTGTACACTGCACCACAATGCCATGTCTAAGAAGGTACTGTTCACATTTTAGACATAGATTTGTGCATTTGCTACAATTTTTGGCAGATAAGTCCAATGTCTTATTCTAATAAAAAGTATACTACAGCAATTTTTCAAAGATAGAAATAAAGTGTCTTCAGGAAGGTAATGGTAGATTGTTGTATTAATGGCTCCAATGAATCACATTTCCTGGTATCCACACCCTTCTTTGGTCCTCTGCCATATTAACTCTGAGCCATTGGGAAATCAGCAAATGTGACACAGGCAGACGTTGCAAAATTCCCAATGATCAAAGCCAAGTTCTCTGATTTTTACAGACTTTCCCTTATCAAAAGATGGCTACTGCTGATCCAAACAGCTATAGGCATTATATCTTCATTCAAAGTAGGAAGAAAAGGAGCAGAGTAGGCAATGCCAATTAGAGCATCTTTTTTTATTTTTTATTTTTTAATTTTTTTAGAGACAGAGTTTTACTCTGTCACCCAGGCTGAAGTGCAGCAAAGCAATCATAGCTTGCTGCAATTTCAAACTCCTGGGCTCCAGTGATCCTCCTGTCTCAGCCTCCCAAGCAGCTGAAAGTATAGGTCTGTGCCACTGCACCTGGATTTATATATATATATATATATATATATATATATATATATAAAGATGGGGATCTCACTATGTTGCCCAAGCTGGTCTCAAACTCCTGGCCTCAAGTGGTCCTCCTCCTGCCTCCCAAAGCACTGGGATTACAGGTGTGAGCTACCATGCCTGGCCCCAGAGCTGCTTTTATTAGAAAAGCAAAATTTTTTCCAGCAACATTCCAGCAGACTTGCATTTATATTTCATTGATCTTTGTCATTTGGCCATTGCTAATTGCAAGGGAGTCTGGAAAATGGAATATTTAGCTTTCCTAAGCCTCTGAGGTAAAACAGGACAAGGAAATAGGAGTTTAGGAAAGTATATTGGGTTGACTAAATGGCAGTGCCTGCTGTGCAACTTTTTTTTTTTCTTTTTTTTTTTTGAGACAGAGTTTCGCTCTTGTTACCCAGGCTGGAGTGCAATGGCGCAATCTCGGCTCACCGCAACCTCCGCCTCCTGGGTTCAGGCAATTCTCCTGCCTCAGCCTCCTGAGTAGCTGGGATTACAGGCACGCGCCACCATGCCCAGCTGATTTTTTGTATTTTTAGTAGAGACGGGGTTTCACCACGTTGACCAGGATGGTCTCGATCTCTCGACCTCGTGATCCACCCGCCTCGGCCTCCCAAAGTGCTGGGATTACAGGCTTGAGCCACTGCGCCCGGCTGCTGTGCAACTTTTAATCATGTCCCATACATAGCCATTCTCCTATTCATACCACTGTGTTAGGCCATTCTTACATTACTAGAAAGAAATACCTGAGGCTGGGTAAGTTATAAAGAAAGGAAGGTTTAATTGGCTCAGTTTCTGTAGCTGTACAATCATGGTACCAGCATCTGCTCAGCTTCAGGGGAGGCCTCAGGGAGCATTTACTTATGGGAGAAGGTGAAGCAGGAGAGTGGGAGTGAGATGGCGGGGAGGTGCCACACACACTTAAATAACCAGAGCTCCTGAGAACTCACTCTTGCAAAGACAAGCCATGCGGCATCTACCTTCATAACCCGAACACCTCCCGTCAGGCCCCACATCTAACACTGGGGATTGCATTTCAACACGAGATTTGGGGAGACAAATATCCAAACTGTATCAACCACAAATGTATACAACATAGAGACTGGAAGCAACTAGCCAATTTTCAAGCTTTATCTTATAATTCAAAGGAAAGAAATTATCTCCAAGCCATTGATTTATTCAACAAATATTTATCGAGGTTAATTCTACAAGTTAGGCATTGAGCTAGGCTTTGAAATACCAACCGTTCTGAGACTCAGGAATGGACCTACTGTTCCGCAGGACTAAGAGTTCAGCCTCCGTATAGGCCTGGAGAAAAGGGATAAAGATGGCCAACAGCCTCTCATTTTACTGTAACTTCCATTGTCATCTTTTCTGTCTTTTTTTTTTTTTTAAAGACAGAGTCTTGCCCTGTTGCCCAGGCTGGGGTGCAGTGGCACAATCGCCACTCACTGCAACCTCCGCCTCCTGGGTTCAAGCGATTCTCATGCCTCAGCCTCCCAAGTAGCTGGGATTATAGGCATGTGGAACCACATCCAGCTAATTTTTGTATTTTTAGTAGAGACGGGGTTTTGCCATGTTGGCCAGGGTAGCCTTGAATTCCTGAACTCAAGTGATCCACCCACCTCCCAAAGTGCTGGGATTACAGGAGTGAGCCACTGTGCCTGGCCTTCATTTATTTCCTCTTTTTACTTCCATTTCCATTCCCATTTTCCTTGTATCAGTTAGCTTTTGCTGCAATAATTAACCATCCTGAAACTTTGTAGCTTGAAACAACAACATATATTGTTACTCACAAGTCTGCAGATCAAGTGGCTGCTTCTCCTGATCCCGGCCAGGACTGGCTGATCCCAGCTGGGCTTGCTCATGTGTTTGCAATTCACCAGCAGGTCAGCTGATGGCACTTGGCCTAGGATGGCCTCACTCACATGCTTGGTGGTTGGTGCTGGCTATCAGCTAGGGCAGTGGGGTAAAAGGGCCATGTGTCACTCATTATCAAGCAGGCTTGCTGAGGCTTATAAACAAGGTGATGGTTACAGGATTCTCAAGAGTAAGAAAAGTGGGCAAGCCCTAATGTTCTAGGACTTTTCAAGTTTCTACTTGTTACATTTGCTACCTGTTCCATTGATCAAAGTAAGTTACAAGGTTGGCCCAGATTCCAGAGATGGAGAAATAAAGTCCATTTCATGATAGGTGGAGCTGCAATCAATCTGCAAGAGCAAGAGAGCAGAGAAGGGAAGAATTTGTGCTCGTTTTGTTAACTCCCAAACTTCTTTTCTCCCGCTACATAGGACACCAAACATTTGTTAAGCTGGTTAATGATCTTTGAGGCCAGGTGCAATTCACCTCTATCAAACATTCATAATAGTGCCTCTGCACTATTAGGGAAAAAATAATAAAAGGCCAGGTGTAGTGGCTCACACCTTTAATCCCAGCACTTTGGAAGGCTGAGGTGGACAGATTGCTTGAGCTCAGGAGTTCAAGACCAGTCTGGGCAATGGGGCAAAACCCCATTTCTCCCAAAAAAAAAAAAAAAAAAATACAAAAATTAGCTAGCTGTGGTGGCATACACCTATAGTCCCAGCTACTTGGGAGGCTGAGGTGGGAGGATTGCTTGAGCTCAGGAGGTTAAGGTTACAGTAAACCAGGAGCATACTACTGAACTCCACAACAGAATGAGACCTTGTCTTAAAAAACAAAAAAAAAGCCTGAATTATCCACCACCAACTCCTAAGCCAGTGGCTGTCAAAATTTATGAACTAAGATCCATTAGCAAGAAATTTATTTTATAGCATCCAGAACATACATGGACACTTTTTTTTTTTTTTTTTTTTTTTTTTAGAAAAGTAAGTTATGGGCCAGGTGCAGTGGCTCACACCTGTAATCTCAGCACTTTCGGGAGGCTGAGGCAGCGGATCATTTGAGGTCAAGAGTTCAAGACCAGCCTGACATGATGAAACCCCATCTCTAGTAAAAATACAAAAATTAGCTGGGCGTGGTGTTGCACAGTTGTAATCCCACTACTCAGGAGGCTGAGGCAGGCAAATGGCTTGAGCTCAGGAGACAGAAGCTGCAGTGAGCTGAGATCGTGCCACTGCACTCCAGCCTGGGCAACACAGTGGTACTCCATCTCAAAAAAAAAAAAAAAAAAAAAAAAGAGTGTGTAGTTTGAAAAGCATTTTCATAAGCTGAGGCCAGGAACACCACTTTTCTAGGCAAAGGGAACAGCAGGTTCTCTTTGAGGGGTTCAGTAAAGAGCCTGAGTTTGGAGCTTGCAGGATCGAAAGAACAGCATGTGGGGAGCCTATCGAGTGGGAGAAGAGGCAGGAAATGTAGGCAAGGGTCTTCCAGGAAGGTCTGTAGGTTGTGGCAGGGCATTCAGGACTTACTCTATTTTTTTTTTTTTTTTTTTTTTTTAGAGTCTTGCTGTGTTGCCCAGGCTGGTCTTAAACTCTTAGGCTCAAGGCAGGGGTTCTCCTGCTTCAGCATCCTGAGGAGCTCCGATCAGGAGTATGCTGCCATGCCTGGTTTCCATTGTTCTAATGGAAGCTCTCAGTGGTTTTAAACAGGGAAGTGACATGATATAATCTATTTTCCAAAATAGTTTCTCCTGACCTCATGCACAGCCCTAAAATGATTGCAGAATGACCTAATTTTCTCTAAATTTAAAACAAGCTTGGAATGACTTTTAAGACCCTCCGTAGAGAATTCTTTCACTCTCCCCCACATTCATACAATGAAACTCATTTCCTGGTTCCTTTCCCTCCGCAAGGGCTCCTACCCTCTGCTGAGCTCTCTGGAAACCAGAATCCTGCAGAAATAAAGGTACTGAAGTTTTTAAATTCCTCTATCAAGTCCAGTACTTTTATTATCCTTCTAGCACTAAGAATCCACTTATCTGCTGGCCATAGTGCCTTCCTGGCTGGAGTCACGCATACCCTTAGATTTCTCGGATTTTTTTTTTTTTTTTTTTTTTTTTTTCTGGTTTGCAACATTGACACTTGGAAGGACATCTGTAAGTTTTGGCAACTGGCTGCTCACAGCTTGGAAGCAAGTCTCCCCTCCCAGTGGGGGTCTCCATCTCTGCTGGGACATCTGCAGTGCCTGCTGCTGGGAGCTGCCACACATGGTCTGAGTCGGCGGTCACATAGACTGAAAAAGAAGCTGGAAGGGAGACTGCTTTGCAGGAGACAAGCAGATTTCCCAGGGCCTGGGCCTCCTTGGCTGGCCCCCAGGAGATGAGTTCCAGCTGTTTTTCTTTTTTGCTGCTTCTTCCTCTCCCCACCCCCCTTTCCGGTGGGGCCCCCTTTCTCTCCCTCCTTCGGCCAACTCGCAGTCCAGACAAGATTTCGGGTGGAAAACATCACTGTCAAAAAAGAAGAATCCAGGAACGAGAAGCCAAAAAGCTGAGGGGGAAGCTCTCCCTGTCTGGAAGCCTGTTCCACGGATCCGCCGCCTCTCATCTGGGAAAGATGATGGGATGCAGCAAACACAGTCAAATGTGTGTTCCTGAGACCTGTTAGTCCCTCACTTCCCTCTGCCCCGTCTCTCTCCATTTCCCCCTTCCCACACTAATGACTTGCCCCAAGTCTGTGGAGAGCTTCCAAACAGATTTATTTACTTTGTGGTTTCCAAAATAGGCGCTATCTAATAGAAGCTTAGGGGTAAAGATACTGGTAGGAAAAGGGATATTGAGGGAAAAGAAGACGAAAGAAAGAGGTTGTGTTGAAAGGCAGAGCAGGCCAGGCACAGCAGCTCGCAGCTGTAATCCCTGCACAGTGGGAGGCCAAGGTGGGTGGATCCCTTGAGATCAGGAGTTTGAGACCAGCCTGGGCAAGATGAGGCCCCATCTCTACAAAAAAAATTTTTTTTTTTTAATTGCATTTTAGGTTTTGGGGTACATGTGGTGAACATGCAAGATTGTTGCATAGGTACACACATGGCAGTGTGCTTTGCTGCCTTCCGTCCCCTCACCTGTATCTGTCATTTCTCCCCATGCTATCTCTTCCCACCTCCCCACCCCCCGCCCCTCCCCCATTTCCCCCCAACGGACCCCAGTGTGTAGTGCTCCCCTCCCTGTGTCCATGTGTTCCTATCGTTCAACACCCGCCTATGAGCGAGAATATACGGTGTTTGATTTTCTGCTCTTGTGTCAGTTTGCTGAGAATGATGGTTTCCAGGTTCATCCATGTCCCTATAAAGGACATGAACTCATCGTTTTTGATGGCTGCGTAATATTCCATGGTGTATATGTACCACATTTTCCCTATCCAGTCTATCATCGTTGGGCATTTGGGTTGGTTCCAGGTCTTTGCTATTGTAAACAGTGCTGCAATGAACATTCGTGTGCACGTGTCCTTGTAGTAGAATGATTTATAATCCTTTGGATATATACCCAGTAATGGGATTGCTGGGTCAAATGGGATTTCTATTTTTAGGTCCTTGAGGAATCGCCACACTGTCTTCCACAATGGTTGAATTAATTTACATTCCCACCAACAGTGTAAAAGTGTTCCTATTTCTCCACATCCTCTCCAGCATCTGTTGTTTCCCGATTTTTTAATGATCGCCATTCTAACTGGTGTGAGATGGTATCTCAATGTGGTTTTGATTTGCATTTCTCTGATGACCAGTGATGATGAGCATTTTTTCATATGTTTGTTGGCCTCCTGTATGTCTTCTTTTGTAAAGTATCTGTTCATATCCTTCGCCCATTTTTGAATGGGCTTGTTTGTTTTTTTCTTGTAGATCTGCTTTAGTTCTTTGTAAATTCTGGATATCAGCCCCTTGTCAGATGGGTAGGCTGCAAAAATTTTTTCCCATTCTGTTGGTTGCTGATTCACTCTACTGACTGTTTCTTTTGCCGTGCAGAAGCTGTGGAGTTTGATTAGGTCCCATTTGTCTATTTTGGCTTTTGTTGCCATTGCTTTTGGCGTTTTGGTCATGAAGTCCTTGCCTACACCTATGTCCTGAATGGTTTTGCCTAGATTTTCTTCTAAGGTTTTTATGGTGTTAGGTCTGATGTTTAAGTCTTTAATCCATCTGGAGTTAATTTTGGTGTAAGGTGTCAGGAAGGGGTCCTGTTTCTGCTTTCTGCACATGGCTAGCCAGTTTTCCCAACACCATTTATTAAACAGGGAGTCCTTTCCCCATTGCTTGTTTTTGTCAGGTTTGTCGAAGATCAGATGGTTGTGGGTATGTTGTATTTCCTGTGAGGCCTCTGTTCAGTTCCATTGGTCTATATCTCTGTTTTGGTACCAGTACCATGCTGTTTTGATTACTGTAGCCTTGTAGTATAGTTTGAAGTCCGGTAGTGTGATGCCTCCCGCTTTGTTCTTTTTGCTTAGAATTGACTTGGCTATGCGGGCTCTCTTTTGGTTCCATAAGAACTGGAAAAAATTTTTTTAATTAGCTGGACGTAGTGGCGGGCCTGTAGTCCCAGCCGCTCAGGAGGCTGCCGTGGGACATCACTTGAGCCCAGGAGGCTGCAGTGAGCCAAGAGCCGTGATTGTGCCACTGCACTTCAGCCTAGGTGACGGAGCTAGACCCTGTCTCAAAAAAAAAAAAAAAAAAAAAAAAGAAGAAGAGGAAGAAGGAAGAAGAAGGAAGAAGAAGGAAGAAAAGGAAAAAGAAGAAGAAGAAGAAGAAAAGTGGAGAAGCTAGTGAGCCAATAAATTGTAATGGTTAAGGGCAGGGACTCCAGATTCACTCAAACCTCATTTATAATCCTGTAAGTGCTGCTTATTGACCCTATGAATTAAAGTTATCTGCTTTAACCTCTCTGAGGCTCTGTTTCCTTATCTGTGAAATGGGCATATTTGTATCTGCTTGCAAAGTTAA